TTCTCTTCCTCAACATCTGGTAAATAGTCCGAAGTAATTGGTTTCGGTTTTTATCCGAAAGAACGCGTTTGAGCTGTAAAGTCCTCATGTTGAGCCGCGAATATTTCGTAAGAGTCATCGTATGGGGAGATTTGCATTTCACAAAGGCAGGAATCAAGGAGTGATGACATTTAATCGGTCTCTGAAGAATAATCGCTAAGAATTCTTATCAAGAAGAAGGCAAAGCAGCGACGACGTGCCATTTATTTTTACCGCGGGCGCTTCATTCTTTAAGGTTGAGAACTTTCACTTTTGGGAGCAAACTCTGAGTAACCTGAATGAGCAAACTACTATCGAACAACCCGTGTGTGCCACAGCCACGGTCCGCCGTACACTGAGGGTTCCTCGGAACGACAAGGGATGTATTTGAGTCGGAAAAAAATTAGGGTTGAGAGGTTGGAGAGAGTAGGGTTGAAGAAAGACCTTCCTCATTGTCATGGCGCAAGGTGGTTACAATTTCCTATACAAAGGTAGATACGGGTTCCGGGCCTGAAAAAAGCGCTTCTCCCGTTTGACCGCTCTAATTTTACTTTGGTGCTCTCTCTGATGGCATCTTCCGTCATTCCGCAGTCATACACCTGCAAACGATAAGGAAGTGACGCGACACGTACTGGAGAGCAGCCAGCATGGCCTTCTTCCAACATTGGTGCCATCCTGAGCACGCTAAAGTTGGTGGGAAATGTGCCGTAGCTGCTCTTCTAGCCATCCCCTGTCGTACGCCCCAGTAATTGCAGGGAATATGGCTCTACACCTCAGTCTCAACTTTTCGTTAACTGATGACTCATATCACTGCAATATTCTTTGCATAGAGGATCAACGACAGCAGCACAGAAAGGCGTCAGGCCTCCGTTCAATGCGAGATCCGTGATTGCTGAGACATTTTCCCAGCTTTGAGCAGCCCATTTTGGCGCTTCTTCCCACTGCTAGGCAGATGTATAGGAGAGCTGGTAGATGCTGCACCTTACTTCAGAAGTCAATCTTCCAAGCCATCAAACCTTACTTTTTTCAGTTCGGTTAGTGCCGCTTGATTTGTTTGGAACCAGAAAAATATGTAGCTGCTGATTTGGTCAATACCTGTAGAGCCAAAGCAATCCAAAAACCATAAAAAAAACCAGAAATATGAAGCTTTTGACGATAATAGCTACCAATTGAGATGCGCCGCGGACCCTGCTCGTTAGGAATCGCATTGTCTTTTGATGCGATTCGGCTTACACAATTAGGCTCTACGAATTACAGTTTTGAGCTTGTTTTTTCGTATGATGAAGAATAGCGCACTACATAGTTCGGAATGTGAGGTGTGAGTTGAATGCGAAGTAATGAATGCTTTTTTTTCCTTTAAAGAAGACGATTTTAGTTTTTCTCCTATAGGCACAGTCTTGTTCGCTGCTGATGTTGAGGCGTGTCACGAGGATGATCTTAGCACGGGCGCCAACCCGTTCTCCAACAACCGGTTAAAGGCAGTTGGCACGATGGTTTCCTACTTAGCCTAAAATGCTAGTAGGGCGCTGTATAGTGGGGAAATGGCGAAAGAACGGAGTGAAATCCTGCGAAGAAAAAGCCTCCGTTCTCAGTGACTTGTAAATCGATTTCGGACGAGTTTCCCGTAGGCATCTTACCAATCACCGCTACCGAAGATACGGCTGCATATGTGTACCCATGTATGCATGCAGCATCACGGCCGCTTCATACCAATCCCTTCGCTTCATAATTTGCTTAGCAAATGAATGAATACGAGCGTCAGGAACGGTCGTCCATTTGTGGGCGGGCGGGCGTGGCGGGCGTTTGGGACGTAAAGTTGTGGCTTGATAGGGCCCTTATAAGGGCACCTTCCTCGGGGAAACCGCTATGCAGCGCCTGCAGGGTCGCGGAATTCTATCCTGCCAGGAGTATTGATCCTAGTCGTCTTGGGGATTTATCGTGCCAACTGCCTTTAAGCGAGCAAGCGACAACTATGGGTGGAAAACGCCAATCAGACGCCGCCAAACCCTCCTCCTGATCCTTCAGCAGACAAGACTGTAGCCTACTCTGAACACATAATCCTTCCGGGTGCACAGGTGGTTTAGCTTTTGTCTATACACATGGATGGAAAATATTTTCAGAAGATTTCTGTCTTGAATTAATATCATGTAGCCCTTCGAGAATAGCTCAATTTCAGAAAGCGGAGCCAAATAAGCTATGGGAGGAACTGATCTTACGCACCTTCGTGAATCGTTTTGAGGATGAAATTCAGAGCCCTGTTGACTCGTACAAGACATTAGAATCAGAATTGGCAAAGTTGAATGTCAAAGGTGAGGGTAGGTTCCTTCTCGCATTCATTATTCACGCTGAATACAATTGGAATCCTTTGCATTTCTTGTTCTTTAACAAATGGTTTCAGACCCGTCATTGTATCGTTCCACCTACTCATTGGTGTCTCCGAATCGAGTTGAAGGCGTCGAAATGCAGTTGGAGGAAGAGGAATCAAGCGATCGGAAGTGAGTGAATTCGATTGATAGAAATTCATGAATAATCAAATTCGAAACGGTTCGATTCCATTCGATTCGTCACACGTTCCTATCATAAACGCGACTTTCTAACGCTGGGTAAACATTGCTGTCTCATCAACGAGCGACACCTTTGCGAATTCGCTCATGGGGATACTTGGCATTGAAATGGGCGAACTATAAGGCGTAGTTCCCATAAGCCGAAACTTGAAGGTATGAGGCACGATAATTTGGCACTCGGTAGCAGGGGTATCTTGCAGTAGAAAAATGGCGAAAAAGCGAAGACGAACGGTCAAAAACCTGCGGAAAAAAGCCTTTGGTCTTCATGACTCAGAAAGGGAAGTTTTTCGGAGAAGTTTCCCATAGGCATCATGCCAATGACTGCTACGGTAGATACAGCTGCATGTAGGTACTCATATATAC